GCTGTCCGTTTCCACAGGTCCCACATCGGCAGATTCAACCACCCGCTCCGCAAATGGAAATTCTTCTGAGGACTCTCAGTTCCACGTTGATCTCAGTCCTACAAACAGGTATGTTCCTCTTGAACAACTGCTCTATTTCTATCATCTGAACATTGTGACTTAGGTATTGATGGTCTACCCTCTTGGCACACTGGATGCTAAGAAGTTTAGATACAAACATATGGCTCAAGCCTGGCAAATTATTCATTTCTGCGGTCTATAACCTCATATTTTAATATCAACAAGTGAGTTTTGGGTCAGTAAGAAGACAGAATTATATCAAATTTTACTGGCATGTGTTCTAATCCATTTCTGTTTTCAAGCAGGAGATATTACAAGAAGCTTTAACAACTGACGGAAAAATATTATATGAACAAACTTAGAAAAATCAAACTTTCTGTATCAATCCTTCTTTCTTTCATTGTACTTACAATTTGTAGCTTAAACTTAAATATGTTTTGAGTAAATATGTCAGAGGACAAAGAAATTTACTTAACAACATACTTCAGTGGATGGATTCACCACTCATTAAATTGTATATTAAGTCATTTAATCATTAATAAACCTGAATAAATGAATGAATAAACAAACAAACCTGAATAAACTGACTATTGGTATGTAGTAACATACAATACAGAAGTCAGCCTAAGCTTAAAGCCAAGACTTTCATAGCACCAATAAAGTGGAAATTTTAAATACAATCTGAAAAATAACTGCCAAGTTACTAACAGTAAAGAAAATCTTAGAGAAATTACCACGTTCAAGGTTTAAAATTCTGAACCCAGATACATATCAGAATCACAAGCCTACTTGTCAAGGTTATAAAACAAAACAAATCTAAAAAACAAGAAAACCAATCTTAGGATCATTCCACATTTGACGATGCTACTTCATCTTGGTACTCAGAAAATAGAGAAATTTATGTATAACCCAAATGAGAGTACTTTTGATTTTTAAATATTCAATGACTTCAGGATACTAGAATAGTTCTTAATTGAATTAATACAACTTTAGATGTGAAGAGCATCTTTATAACATTGACTAAAATTTATTTAATATTTTGGGAAGTAAACCAATTTTTTTACATATATGAAAATGATAATAATGCCATCCTATAGTTTTTATGCATATAAAATTCTTTAAAATAAATATTAACCAATTTCTTACACAAATTTTGGGTTTTCACATTATTGCTCAGATGGAGAGACCCCCCTCCCCGGAAACTAATATTCTCTGAATACCTAAGTCACAAGTATTCTGCTAGGTGCTTTGACAAATATCATCTCGTTAAAAAAAAAATAGTAAATGAAGTTTTATAGTTTTTTATGACCTACCAACCATAAGAACTGAATATTGGTATGTAGCAACATTATAGAGGTTAGCCTAAGCTAAAACCCACAGCATCTTTAACAAAGGGCAAAGGAAAGAAGAAAACAAACAAACAAACTAAAAGAATACAACATTATATAAAGATTTTAAAAACAAATTTCACCTGACTGGACCACAGATATTCACATCACTGACTTTGACTAGAGTTTCATATTTAGTGAAAGGCATTTATTTATAAGTAGAGGGCAAATAAGTGCTGTAAGGCACGTACAATGGTACAAACATGGCAGGTTTTCAATAAAATAAGTTTTACTTCTGTTGATATGTTAATATATTTGTTGTTGTTCATTTATCAATCTAGTACAAATCAGCCTAAATAAGTAGCATGGCATCGCCCTGTAAAACTTTGGAGGTCCCACCTAAGCTTAGTGTTCTCTGAAGTCCTCCATGAAGTCCTCCATGATCTGTTCCAACTAATTTAGTACAAGCCTTACATTGTTATTCATCTTTCTAAGTTTATGCACTGACTTTTTATGGCTTATATCTTCACAGCTCTAATAATATCGAATACAATTTAATAAGAGGTAGTTAACTACCTCAATTTATAACTACTTGTTATAAATCCTATGTTTCATGAGATTATATCTTATCAACTATGTTCTAGAAAGAGAATTACACGTGTTTGCTCAACTCTGCTGACTCGCCACTGCTTGCAGAATAATAACCAAATTTCTGTGTATGGAACTCAAAGCCCTATCCTGTGGCCCTATGCTAGACTTCCATCCTACCTACATTCCAGCCACTACCACAGAGAATTTGCCAAACTCACTGTATACTTTTGTACCTCCAAACACTGGTCAGTATGATTCTTTCTGCAATTCCAGATGGCACACACTTACTTATTCTGCAAAGCTCACCCCATCAACTCTTCAGTGAAGCTTTCCCAGAACCCACCACCACTCCTACCACCACCCCCCAAACCCCTGCGGAGGGCAAATCCTTCTTCCGTTTGGCAGCCACTTTTATTAAAGTACTTTTCTCCTTTAGTAAAAGGAAATTATTATTATTAGTCTGCCTTCTCCTTTGTGAAACTTTCCAAGACTCCATTATTATTATTATTATTATTATTATTATTATTCCGCTTCCTCTTCTGTGAACTCTCTAAGCCTCCCATATCCAGAGTTAAGCACTACATTTATTGCCCAACCCTGTCCCTCATACGTAATTCTCTCCCAGCACATAACACAGCACCCTGGCCTTACTTATCTTTATAATTACCTGCCCTACACAGATGTAGAGAACAAACGTATGGACCCCAAGGGGGGAAAACCACGGGGGGCTGGGGGTGTGTGCTGAATTGGGCGATTGGGATTGACAATGTATACACTGATGTGTATAAAATTGATGACTAATAAGAACCTGCAGTATAAACAAACAAACAACAAAACAAAACAAAACAAAAAATAATTACCTGCCCTATTAGACACTGTGCTCCTTGAGGACATCATCTCATTCATCATTGCACCCCCAGAGCCTAGTCAGCACTTGATACGCAGTAGATGTTCAATAAATATTATTAAATTAACAAACAAAATACAATTGCTTTCTGCCCAATCAGAAAAGAACTGGTACCGAGCATTCCATTTAGACACCTGCCTCCTTAGCATTCAAGCAGAAACCTTGCTCTCCAGTGATTAAACAAGAGCAAACCAAAGTGGATGTGCAGAAAGTAAGGTGACTGAAGGAATTGGGGAGAAGTCAGGCTTCCAGCAAGGGCAAAGGTAGGCCCTTTACATGTTGAACAATTCCCTCACGTTAGCTCCAGGGGGGTTATTTACACAGCAGTGACTGCTGTAAGCAATGCTTTGCTAACCTTCAGTAAGATAATCCCTAATGAAACTGCTTCCTCACCTCCACTAAGTGACAGACAAATGTCCATTTTTGCATAGACATTTCCTTAGAGAATAATCGACTGGGAATATAACAACTACATGTATTTTTAACATCAGTTAATTATACAAAAGCATTTAATATATATAATTTTTAATGAAAAGAACACAAACCAGAATTAACGTGGCATGATGTTAAAAAATTACTGTATCCTAACATGCCTACTCTATATCACAAGAAAATATCTGTACACATGCATACTACAGTATAATCTTTTTCTATGTGTTCTTGATTTAACTTCTGGATGGTATAAATCAGAAACAGCAAAATGAAGAGACTAGGATGTAAAACCTACTGTAAATATGACGAAAGATACGGGAAGACGCAGAGTACAATTAATTCAGCAAATATTTTTGAAATGCCAGGAAATACAAAAGGCATAAAGATGCATAGTGTAACGCCACTGCTTTCAGGAAACTTATCTGAAATAAAGCCTTCCACTACAATATACTCACAGAACCGAGCAAACAAGTAAGGACAGCATTGAGCTTGTCTTAAAAAGAAAAATGTTATGTAACTATGACTAACTGGTTGCTCTGTTTTCTACAAAAACAATTATCTTCAACAGATTTTAACACTCTTTCTACTGAACACATGGAGGTAAAAAAATTTTTAGGGACCTCCCTGGTGGCGCAGTGTTAAGAATCCACCTGCCAATGCAGGGGACATGGGTTCGAGCCCTGGTACGGGAAGATCCCACATGCTGCGGAGCAACTAAGCCCGTGCGCCACAACTACTGAGCCTGCACTCTACAGCCGGCGAGCTAAAACTACTGAGCCCACGTGCCACAACTACTGAAGCCTGGGTGCCTAGAACCTGTGCTCCACAGCAAGAGAAGCCACCGCAACGAGATGCCCACGCACTGCAACGAGAAGCCCGCGCACCACAACGAAGAGCAGCCCCCGCTCGCTGCAACTAGAGAAAGCCCGCGTGCAGCAACGAAGGCCCAACGCAGCCAAATATAAATAAATATATTAAAAAAAATTTTTTTTAAACAAAATGTACCTCAAGCTATAAACATTCTGAGAGCCAAAAAAGTACTTTAAGAGAAAAATAAACATAAGGCGACTACATTTCGACATTTAAAAAATCTTCACTTCATAATAATTAAATGCTCTACACATACAAATTATTAGAGTTATACTTCACATATACAACATTGTTTATAAAAGTTTTAACTGTTCTTGACTTCTTTGAACTGCTCTTGGCCTGTTTTCTCAGAGGGAAAACACCTATACTTAGTAGGACAATATGCAAATGCTGGCCTTTATATCAAAAATAAAATTTACCAGCAAAAAGTTGGCATAAAGGTTTCTATTGGCTGAAAAGTATATCTTCCTCCTCTAAGTTATAGCTTCCTAACTCTCTCTTTTGTAATGTAAAAGCTAATTTGAGTAATGGATATAAGAATACAGACATATTTAATAGATGCTATATCTTACTCATTTTTTTTAGGTTTTGAGAAAACCTCTTCACAACACAATTTCAAACAGTGGCTTTATTATAGTTGTGTTTTTGACTAAATATAAGGTGCTTAAATTGTTTTAGAAAGTAAGCAGATATTAATTCATAATTGGAATTCTAACTGGGCACAACTACGAACTCATCCTGCTCAAAAAATTGTTTTAAATTATTTGTTACTAAAAATTATTTATTTTGCATGCTATTGAAGGCTTCTTTACCTGCAGATGGCTGGGAAACATTCCTGAAGACCTTTCTTTTTAACTAAAGATCCTTCAAGGCAGTACATAATGATGTCCATAACCTTTACAGAAAAGACACAAATCTAAAATTAGTTTCAAATACTTAATTTTCCATAATTTAAATTATTAACTTAGGCCTCATTTGCATTAAAATTCTACATAGTTTGATTTTGATATTTACTTTAAAACTACAGTATATTTACTAAAATTACAGTGTACTTACTTTATACTATAGGCCATCCTTTCTCTTACCTGTGAAAACCATTTTTTAAAGACAGCACACAGTAAAATAAAGAAACCAGACTTGTTTACTTGAAAGGCAATTCCTATTTATGTACAGGATAGGTAGCTTTTATTCAAGCACACTCTATATTCTGTTTTACTTATAGTGAAAGATATAGAAGAGACTATAACCTTTAAAAACTGCTCTAATACCGTCCATTCCATGTGAATGGTAAATGGACATAGCAATCATTTTGATTTTTGAGGAAATTTAAATCAAGTCTCCAGAAATGATACAAAAGTTCACTCATTTTAGTCATCTCTTTCTTTCTTTTAGAGGTGCTGGAAATAAAGATGCTGATTTATATTACTACACTAGAATATTTAATTTAGCTGTGGATGTATTGATATCATTTAAAACAGAATATTCTTACCTCCACGAGAAGATCCACAACATCCGTGGGCATCTTTTCAATAAGAATTTCAATGACTCTCAGAATTTCCCCTTTAGCTCGGGCAAGAGTTGTGGTGTGCATGTTCTGCTGGGATTGGGTATTTGCTGCAAGAGCAGTATGTCTGTGCACCTAGAAAAACATTTCCATGTTGCAGATATGGTCGACACTTGATAGACTTTTACATTTCTAGCCACTGGTTTTTCACTTACTAATACAACAGAAAAAAAAATCAACAAAAACAAATGTCTTGGGGTGAGTCACGAAACACTTTTAATTACAAAGAAAGTACTGAGTACAATAAACACTCAGTATGTATTCCCTAATAGAATTCTAGTTCTTGGGCATTATATGAGACTTTAATACACTACCACCATGACATTTTTAAAAAGAGACAAACAGAAGGTTTGTGAATCCTGCATATTCAGCATTGAGGTGGGTAGCAGTTAGGAGACACCAGCGCGTATAAGACATGATTTTTGTTCTCAAGTAATAATGGTAAATGATGCTTACATAGCACTTACTGTGTCCCAGGCACCATTCTAGGTGCTTTATAATCAAGTTGGGAAATTAAAAAAAAACATACCTCCAAAAATAATGAACACTGTGTAAACACAGCTGACCCTTGAACAATGCTGGGAGTTAGGGGCGCCAACCCTCCACGGAGTTGAAAATCCGTGTACATCTTACAGTTGGCCCTCTGTGTCCAAGGATTCAACCATCCACAAGAATGTTCAGTCCTGTAGTATTTACTACTGAAAAAAATTCACATATAAGTGGACCTGCGCAGTTCAAACCCATGTTGTTCAAGGGTCAACTGTAATGTAAGTTCAGTGTGATTTTGCTTCCTTGTACAAACTGTAAGTCTTAACAGTTCAAAGGAGAAACAGCATTAACAGGCCCTGGGTCAGCCATGCAGGAGTGGGCATGGGGATGGGGTTAGGGACAGCTGTCATGGTGAGAAATACTTCAGTATTTTACTCTAAACCTCTAAGTGAAGTGGAAAACGTTTTTTTAAAAGGTAATAAATGTGGACTATTACATTAAAATATTAGTTAGAACATGAAGAATGTGGGAATCATTGGCAATTAGTTAGACCATTAACATTAAAATATTTAAAAATTACCTTTCTAGTCAAATGCTGGAGTAGAACAAACCCCAAGCATGGCTATTCTAACAGTTCATTTAAAAATACTCATATGTAAATGGTGAAAATTAAGTTTAAAAACACAATTAATATAAAATACTTGTTTATCTCTTTAAAGAGGCAATTTAATGCCTGGCCTTTATAAGACCTGTATCTGTATCAGACTAATGTAAGGCTTATACAGTATATTCAATATTAGTATCTCTGTATGTTCCACTGATATGAAAAACTGGTAAAAAAAAAACCCATGTCTAATAAATCTGTTCATTTATACATACATATACTTTATAAAAATATATACTATCTATAAAATATAGACATATACATATGTATATTTTAAACACAGTGGACTCTCAGTGCACCACTATGCACTATTAGAAATACATAGCCCCTTAGTCTGCAAATCTATTTTAGGTGTGAATTCAAAGTCCCACTGCCTCAGATAAACCCATACAATCTGCTATTAGGCCCTTCTTTCCTCCCTTCTGGCTACATTCATGTCACAAATATTTGCTGCATGCCGATTAAGGATGGCTCTGGGGCAGACATAGGCCCAGTAGGTTGTAGGTTATCAGGGCAGACTCCGAGGTATTTATTTAGTATTTTAAAAATTCATCTTAGCTACAGGAAAAACAACTCAGGCAGAGCCCATACCCCACGGACACTGAGTCTGCACATTATTCATGCTAAAATGGAACAAACCTTTAAAGAAAATTTAGGCGTTTATCTTCCTTGCCTTTTCTCCCACTACTAAGACCTATAGGAAAGACCTTATAATTGGTTCATTGTTCTTTACTAGTTTTTCAGTTAGACGTGGGCAATTAGAGCACTGAGAATTCGGGAATCAATTGGCATTCAAGTCTTTATCTGTGATATGTAATAGGAAAAACAATTAGCAAGTTTATGACTTACATTTTTGTTTACAGTTGGAGAGTCAGTGTTAAATAAGTTTTGTTTTGATTATAGGTAGATACTTACACTTGTAAAATGTGGATACCTTTAATATATTTTAATTTGAACAAGCCTGCTATATTTCAGATTGAGAAATTACTGTAAATACAAATATTTACAAGTGAATTAACGTTGAGAACAGAAATGACTACAAAAACACAAGTAATGAATGCACTGCCGTGGAATTCTGTGTGCATGCACACAGGTACATACGTATTCATCCCAGCCCTAAATTATTAACTTGCATTGTTCTAGAACAAACTGTAAGGATTATCTATAGATACGGACCCTCTGCTCACAATATGAGATAATTCCTCTAACTGCGAAGATGGAGCACACTGAGAAGTTCCTCTCACCTCTTTGGCTATAGTCGTGATGAAGGCGGGTGGTCTGGCCGTGGCAATGAGAGACAGGGCATGCCTCGAGGAGCGGGCAGAGTCAGCTGCAGGGCTCAGAGGCAGCCCCATTGTGATGCTAAACAGGGATCAGAAAAAAAGGAAGAAAGAAAAGAAGCATTAGAAATATAGACTGAAAAGATTAGACACAGCTTATAATGTCAGTTCAAGGTCAATGGGAGCACTCAAACAGTTAGAATATAATGGACTTGCAACAATGAGCAGTGATTAGGAGTCAGGGTGTTCTGGCATCAAATACAAAATCGAATAATTAACCGTGAAGATTGAAAACAGTATGTGCATCTGTCCAAAGTGTTAAAAACGCCTTGTTAACAAATTATCAAGAACTAGTACTGAATACGTATCACATAGCTCCGAATAAGGCAAGAAAGAATATTGTGCAGAGCATTTTCAATTTTTTTCCTTAAAAAACTTAAAGGTAAAAATTTGTTTATAAGGCCAAGTTGAAAGGCTGTATTTAAGGCCTATATCTGAGAGGAAGCAAAACTCACTCTTGTCCATAAAATTGCCGAAGAACTGAAAATCACAAAATTATTTTTAGCTTATATATTATTTTTAGTTTGAAATACCCTCAGTAACGCTAGTTTACCCTACACTCAATACTTTCAGAACCAATCTAATCAGCATTTTCTGCCAGTAGGTATTCAGTATTGTTGCAAAAAATTCTATTAACTGATACTTACTCTCTCTCTATAAAGAACATACACATGACATGGTCCAGGCTATATACAAGAATATGTACATGATGAAATAAATCTTTCTAGAGTGAGAGGATGTCATGATAGGATAGTGCTGCTATATTTTCCTTTGCCACTCCTAAAACATAAAAATGATAATATTCTTCTGTTTGTAAGCTTCCTTTTATTTTATATAGACTACTGTGAAAAGTATTAAGACTTTTCTTTCATTAAAACGTGGCATGTGACCCACACATCAACTGTGTACAGGGACTATTTTGTTACTCAGTAAGAGATCCATTATAGCTTCTCTTGCTAGTTAAATAACCTTGGTATTTAAATATCCATATGAAATTATATTAAGATCTGTCCTGCTCCAATTAAATAATCTTTGTGTTTCATGTGTCAAATGAATTACATTTACTAAAAATTTTCAGGAAGTTTACAAGTATCTCTATAATCGATCTAAGAATCATTATTTTAACTTTTAGTTGAAAATAAGGAGGCATCACATAGGTATTCCCATCATTCTTAAAAGGTAAATTGATTATAGAAAATTCTCCTTATTTCTTTGTGACTTTTACATTGCTCAGTCTCTGTCTGATAATATAACTGTCTCTACTCTTTTTTTCCAAACTGAGGGTAGACACAAAGTGGGAACTCAGAGAAGACGATGGAGAGCTTTCCTTTCATGTTTACCACAAAAAAGACAGATGTGAGCTGAGAGAACAAACACACATATCGAGCAATAAACAGAAGGTGCATTGGTGGGCGCGTCACCCCCATGGAAGGTCCTGATGCCTTCGGGCCCCAATGGGGGCTGGACAGAGATTCTCATCAGGAGAGCAGTTTCTCTTCTGGATTAAACTTTATTATTGAGAATTCAGGAAAAGAAATGTTTACTAGGTGAGTAGTGCTAGGCTAGATTGCTTAAAAAATTATTGTAAAAAAAAATTATTGTAAAGTTTTAGATCTTTATTAAGCTAAGTTTTAAAAAATTCAAAAGCTAAATTTTTCAGATACTCTATGATGTTTCCTGTCATCAATGTGGATGAATAGATGTTGATAATATTGAAAGCCTGAAACAAACAAATATGGCATGTTAATTGAATAATTCTGAACAAACCTACATCAACTTTCCTAAGATCAGTAAAACCACAGGATGTTGAAGTTGGAAAGATCCCCTAGGCAACATCCCTGCCAAGCAGTCAGCCAGGGAGAAAGAGGGGCCATTTCCAAGGCGTCCCACCCCACATGTGGGAGGCATGAGAGGAGGAAAAATAACTGGACGGGAACCGTAGGTAGAGGGTTGAAGTGGAGCTTCCCTGTGCTACTTCATGTCCTCTTGCATCTGCCCAGAACATCCCTATGAGGTGGTGATATCAGCATTTTACGAGGGAGAAATCAGGTCCAGAGAAAGAGCCAAGGTAGCAGCGTAATGTCTCAGGACAGCTGACCTCTGGAGAAAATTAAGGGGGAGGGGCTGGACGATGCTGTGGGTAATTGGATTAATGAATTGCTAACATGACTAAACTCAGCACTTTTGGATGCCTGGCTAGACTGCATCCCTGAGAGAGCTTTCTAGTGGTGTGTTGTAACACATGGACCTCCGGTCTGTTTTATTCAGTATCAACAGTGGATTGAATGACGATACAGGATGCACGGTCATCGACTGGTATGGAGGTAAAGTTGTAACAGAGAGCAACTGTACTAAATAGCAGAACTGGAAATCAAAAGCCCTCAAAAAGATCAAATTCAGCTAAAGAAAGAAGTCTTACATGTGGGTACCGATGACCAACTTTACAGGCAGGTATAGGACAGGCGATGGCCGAGCTTATGAAACAGACCTGAAGGTTGTTGTACTTGAAACTTACATCCGTATGTTGGTGACCTGGCTACCTGCAGGGCTAGGCTGAATCAAGGGAAATACAAGGACAGAGAAGATGTTGCCCCTGCTGCCGTTCCTGGCTCCGGGTGCCCTCCTCATGGATGTGTTTCTCACTAAGAGATGGGGCCTGGCTTCCACAGGACAGGCATTACAGCATCCTCCTGGAGTCTGTGTAAGTCTTGCCCATTCCCAGCTGTGCTGTCGTGACCTCTTGCAGTTGCAAAGCAGAGTTTTATTCACATAAACAGGATCCTTGCAAACTCACCGCCCACCTCTAAGTCCTCTCTTTCACCCCGTCTCTGTTCCTTGCATGGAGGAGAAAAGTTTAGTGGGATGCTAAGAAGGGGCCAGGGGAGGCGAGGCAGAGGGGAGAAAGAGAGAGAAAGAATAAATACACATGGATATGCACATGTGTGTGTGCACTTGAGGGTGGGGGAGGTCAGCTGACAGACTTCCAAGGCTCACGCCACAGTGACAAGTGGATATTGTCCCCCTGCCCTCATGCTGTGCCCTGTGGTCACCCTAGACTGAATAAGCACAATGTCAGTAAAATGGTTATATTAAAATACCGACTTCACCAGGTTGATGAGAAGATTGAACGAGATAACAAATGCAAAGACATCTGGCCCTGCATCTGACAGTTACAGGTACAGCAGGTGCTTCTTCTCAACCAAAGATGCCTCTTACAAGTAGAAACAAAGTGAAAAGAAAATGAGATCAATGAATGGCAGGTCACTAGTTTCAAGTTAAAGGCTTAGTCACACATTACCCTTCCTCCTCAGCAAATGACCTCGTGAATCTGGGGAAATTGGCAAACTTCTTATAGGAAGAAAAGTGATAAAGTGGGGGTAATGGGGAAGGAAGCGAACCAAAGACATAGAAAAGTGCTGCCCGTTGGATTCCAGCTGTTGGGAAGCTGGACCACCCAACAATCTGTAGAGGCACCAACGTGTGCATTTGAGTGATTCCTGTCATCAGTGTCTGGCAGTCTGAGGGCAGGACTTCAGAATGTGGAAGCAGCTCTTGCTCTGAGGTCAGGGCTCTGCAGTGACCGTCAAAGCATCCACAGTGCACAAGCGGGTGGGCTGTGAGCGTGATAACAGAAAGGAGTCGCCCAGGCAACAGGGGCAGAAGAGAAACCTTGTCTCTCCTGTCTGCAGCCTCTTGAATGCACCCCTGCCAGAGTAATCTTCCCAAAGCACCAACTTTATTTCATGGTTAACCTGCTTAAAAACCGCACTGGGTCCTAGAAAAATCTTAAACTTAGAAAAATCTTAGAAAAAAAATCTTAGTGCTTAGAAAAATCTTAAACTCCTTGGCTGGAGATTCCAGGCCCTCCATAATCTTGTTTTGCTAATTTATAACTCAGTCATTTCCACACCCATGCTCCCGAGGCCAGACTAATTTCAAAGCTGGTCCCTAAAATTCGATTCCTCTTTTAATCGTAGTATTTTGCTAAGCTTCTCTGCTACCCCTTTCCTCACTAGCACACTCTCCTCCCTCCCCTCTGTTCAATTCTTGTGGAAGCCCACGTGGTATTCTGCAATTGCTACAGCACTCAATTACCATCTATTGAAACAAAAACAACCAACGACAAAACCTGTTCATTCCGGGCCCTTAGCACTGACCCTCATTCTGAACGAGTTTTATACTGTGAACCAATAAACAGGTTAGGACCATGCCTTCTAATCCTGTGTACCACCCCCTACCCCCTGCAATGTGCCTAGTACAGCCCTTGGACATAGTGGTAGCTCAATAGTTAAATGAAGGTAAATGAAGTTACCTGGCAAATGCGGCAGGAAAAAAAAAATCACTTAAGCCAGTTATTCGACTGAATTGACCAAGAAATGAAGTCAAAGTAATTGATCTGGTGGTCCCAACAGACAAAGTCTAATTCTGCATGTAGTTATCTTGAAAGTCAAAAGTGTACTGGGTGTGTGATATATTTTAATGTGGAATTCTAACTGAAAAGGAAGGATCATACTATCAGAGGCCTTGAAATTAAAGGGGATGTCTGCCTTATTCTGGAATCTGGATGTAAACACAGAACTCACTCTTTTCACCTGATCCTGCTTATCTGGCTCTTATGCAGATCATCTGTTACATAGGTTTATAGGGTGGTCTTTGTTTCAGTCTTTATTCTGAAAAATATGATATGACATACTCTCAGTTTTACTCAGCATTTCAGTATACACATTCAATATGAAATACCAGAGATGATAGATATTATAAATAAAAACCATGAATAGAAAATAGTCCACTCAGGCCAAGCTCAATCCTTACTTGACTGCTCATTAAATCCTGTTCTAACTTACTCCATGGCAGTAAAAGCTTTTTAAAACTTACATGTAAGACCACCTCAGTTAAATGTCACTGTCTACAATTGTCAGACTTCACCCATCTGTCAAGTTATGGAACACCATAAGGGAATATTCAGGGTGGGGGGAACACAACTTTCATAGGATAACCTGCAAATCACAGTCAACACGATTA